ATCTGAGGTTTTAGGCTTGGGTTAATCTCTACCGAAAACAAATGGTTACAGGATGTACAGCAAATTAGTGTAACATAATGGATTTGGGGAAAAAATTCTAAATTCTTTGGATTTTCCCCAAATCTTGAGTGTTAGGATCAAACCCCAGCTACATGATCTCCATGCACAGTTCAGGGGACAGTCCAATGCTCAAATGTTATGAGAAATCTTGCATAGAAATCTTCGCTTGATATTAAGGACAGTTTTACTGAACTGAAAATGGTTTGAATTACCAAAAGATCAACAGACCAAATAAAGCTTTTTGCATGACTTTTTATTTAAGGTTCATAAACCAAGAAAATATCCAGTGTAAATACATGTTTAAGTTTTAAGTGGGCTACAAGGTCAAACACTTTGTCTTTAAAAATAGTTTAGTAACGTTTTATCGGGTTTCTAAATAAAATGTGGCTTCTTTCACAGCCCTTGAAGCATCAGTGCTGTTGACATCTTACCTATAAAAACAAACATAGTTGCTGTTATTCTTTACAATATGAAGTTCACAGATCTTTGAGCACAGTTCTGTAGAAGGTGGAGAGAATAGTATCAACAGTGGCAAAGCAAAGATCCATCAAAATGACATCTGACATGAATGTCAGTTCTTCTATATCTAACTTTAAATAAAATGATGCTACATAACACTTGGTTTTATTTATTCTTTATGTAGTATTCTATTAGGAATGGTTTTCCCACAAATCCTATGTGATTGTTTTATTTCAATTCTAACTGAGGCAGTTATATATAATGCTCCATAGTGCATGAAAAATGCAGCAGGGAGAGAAGCAGTAATTTGAGATCCATCACTGAAATAATCCTAATATGGAATACCTATAACCAGCAGTATAGCTCAACTCAGATGCCACATACAGTTTTCATGAAAGTTCTGCTTGACCTGACCACTTGTCTAGTGTTACAACAACGTGTTGCAACACAAGGAGTTTATTGTATGGGTCCTAGACTGGGAGTCTCACTGCCCAACCTGGTATTGCTGCCAAAGCAATGCATTCAGTCCTAAAAATTGAAGGTTTGTGGGGCTAGAAGGCACTTCACTTTGCTCCCTGATATTCCCACTCCAGTGGAAGTGGACAGCAGCACCTGTAGCTGTCCTCTGCTGGACAGAAGGTCTCCACAGCACAGGGTCTTTGAGGAAGTGAGCATTCTTGATACTCAAAGAAGGAGACCAACTGACTTGCCCAAGGTCATAGAATCATAGAATATCAGGGTTGGAAGGGACCTCAGGAGGTCACTGAGTCAGTGGCTCACTAGGGATCAGAATCATCAAGATATCCAAAAACAGGCTAGCAAAAACACACAATCATTTGAAGGCATCCATTACTAAGATCAGGCATTCTCTACATTTTTCCATGCAGGGCATCTTGTCATGGTCCTAGTCCCACAAGCCTTTGATTCATGGTAAGAAATTGAAGCTGGTTTTGGCAGCAAGAGTGGGAGTTGGGTTGTTTTATGGGATGGGGGTTGTTGGATGTGGTAGCACGAACTACTGAATTGGCATTGGAGCTGCCTCTTCCTCTCTACACTGCTACCGAAAAGCATCATTAATTTGCTGCTGTGCTACTTGCAATTGGGGACAAGGCAACTGACTCCTAACTATGTTTGGCAGAGTTTTCCTGGAACACATCATGGCACAGGCACGTAGGAGGGAAGGGAAGAGAAAAGACAATTACCTTTTCCATAACTGGTGTTCTTCGAGATATGTTGCTCATGTCCATTCCACAGTAGGTGTGCGTGCTCGCCATGTGCACAGGTTCAGGAAGCTTTTTCCCCTAGCAGTACCCATAGGGGAGTGCCTCTAGTGACCCCTGGAGTGGCACCTCTATGGCGCGGTTTAAGGGGAGCTGCACGCTCCCCCCACCCTCAGTTCCTTCTTGCCAGACAACTCCAACAGAGCAGAAGGAGGGCAGGATGTGGAATGGACATGAGCAACACATCTCGAAGAACACCAGTTATGGAAAAGGCAACTGTCTTTTCTTCTTAGAGTGATTGCTCATGTGCATTCCACAATAGGTGATTCCAAGCTATATCTGTTGGAGGTGGGTAGGAGTTCACAGACTCTCGGGATGGAGTACAGCCCTGCCGAACCCAGCATTCTCCCTGGTTTGGGAGACGATCGCATAATGCTAGGTGAATGTGTGAACTTAAGACCACGTGGCAGCCCTGAAAATGTCCTGAATGGGAACATGGGCTAAAAAGGCAGCCGACAATGCTTGTGCCCTGGTCGACTGTGCCCTCACAATCGGTGGTGGGGGAACTCCCGTCAGGTCGTAACAGGTACGAATACACAAGGTGATCCAATTGGAGAGCCGCTGAGTGGAGATCGGCCGACCTCTCATGCATTCGGCCGAGGCAATGAACAGCTGTGAGGACTTCCTGAACAGCTTAGTCCGCTCCACGTAAAAGGCCAGAGCCATGTGGAGGTGGCACTCCTTGCTGGAGGCATGGGGCTTGGGACAGAGCACCAGCAGGAAGATGTCCTGACCCATGTGGTAGGTGGAGACCACCTTGGGGAGGAACGAAGGATGTAGTTGGAGCTGGACCTTATCCTTATGGAACACCATGTACGGGGGCTCGGAGGTCAGGGCCCTGAGCTCCGAGACCCATCTAGCTGACGTGATCACCACCAGGAAGGCTACCTTCCATGAGAGGTGTGACCAGGAGCACGTAGCTAGCGTCTCAAATGGGGGACCTGTCAACTGGGCCAGCACCAAGTTCAGGTTCCACTGCAGGACTGGGGGCCTAATATACGGGAAGAGACGATCCAATCCCTTAAGTAATCAACCAGTCATAGAATGGGAGAATACTGTGTGCCCCTGCACCAATGGGTGGAAGGCCGATATGGCCACCAAGTGCACCTTGACAGACGAGGGCGCTAGGCCTTGGGCTCTAAGGTGAAGGAGGTAGTCTAAAATGAGTTGGATCAGAGCAGCCACAGACGAAATGCCCCAATCGGCTGCCCACCGGGAAAACTGAGACCACTTCGCCAGGTAAGCCCGGCGTGTGGAGGGCCGTCTGCTTTCCAGGAGGATGCGCTGAAACCCTTCCAAGCACGTCTTTTCCTCTCAGCCTAACCATTGAGCAGGCATGCCGTGAGGTGGGGTGCCGCTAGGTTGGGGTGGAGGAGGCGGCTTTGGTCCCGGGAGAGCAGGTCCAGGCAGGATGGCAACAGCCATGGTGGGGTGACTGCTAGGCTCGTGAGAGTCCCATACCAATGTTGCCTGGGCCATGCCGGGGCGATCAGGAGAACCCAGGCCCTGTCCGTTTTTATCGTCTCCAAGACCTTGCCGATCAGCAGGATCAGGGGGAAGGCATAGAGAAGCAAGCCTGACCAGGATAGGAGGAAGGCATCAGAGATAGCACCCATGCCCAACCGACCCCCCACCCACCCCTGGAGCAGAAACAGGGACACCGGTGGTTCTGCTGAGTAGCGAACAGGTCCACTTGGGGAGTTCCCCACTCTCGGAAAATCCTGTGCACCACCTCTGGGTGTAGTGACCACTCGTGGTGAGAGGAGACGTCTCGGTTCAGGCGATCTGCCCACGAGTTCCAGGCACCTGGTAAGTGGTGGGCTTGTAGGCAAATGTCGTGGGCTATACAAAAGTCCCACAGCCTGAGGGCTTCCTGGCAGAGGAGCGGGCCCTGCCTTGCCTGTTGATGTAAAACATCGAGGCCATGTTGTCCGTGAGAACCCTGACCACTCTGCCCTACAGGTGTGAGCGGAAGGCCATGCATGCCAGCTGGACCACCCTGAGCTCCTTGACGTTTACATGCAGGGCAAAGTGATGCGTGTACCACAGACCTTGCGTCTGAACGTTCCCCACATGGGCTTCCCACAGCAGGTCTGATGCGTTGGACACC